CGGGACGGTGATGCCGAACTCGCCGAAGGTATCCCCCATGCGAAGGACAACTGCCTGGCAGCGCAGTCCCAACAGGGGATGGCCCTTCCTAGACCCGTCCAGAGCTAAAGACATCAGTCAATGGGTTCGGGTGCAAAGGCGGCGTTCGGGTTCGGGTATGTGTATTAGTTTTATGGATACCGCCCTGTCGGTGCTGTAGACTGCCGGTAGATGTTGACAGTCTTGCGTACGATATACTCAAGAGTTAAAAAAGAGCCCACACCCTATATCTACATATATGTATATAGGACTAGTTTATTTTCCTTTGCGTAAGTGGAGCACGCAAAGAAAAAATTAAAATCCTCTGACCTTCTAATTTACACAACACGGAGAATGGGAAAAGATAAATAAAAAGATGGGCTTAAATAAAAGACATAGAATAATAACTATAAGGACAACGCCATGAAGTGCACAGTTTCAAACTTATTTCCACAGAAACTACAACTAGTATTGAAAATTAATTAATGATAAAAGGTTCCATAAACATCACTTTCTTCACGATCAGACTCAAACTCCGCGATCAAAAGGGAAAAAGAGTAATAAAGATATTCTTCACATCTTACTGTTTCTCCTTTTACTCGGATTTAAATCCTAAATTTTCCCTCGTTCTCGATCTTCTTCATACAATAAGCCTGATATAAGAATTTTAAATGGAAAAAAAATGTTATAGAAAGACACACGCGGGAAAAAACTCGGCGCGCGAATTGATTTATATATAATGTGCAACCTAGTTCTTTTAGTATTAAAAAAACTTAGTTTACATCTACATATATTCCTATATTTACCTGACAAAGTAACGGAAAAGACCGGGAACGAAAGAATACGGTCTCATCCACATTTGCTAAATACGTGTATAGAAATAGATATTGAATAAATCGATGAATCATGGAACCTCATTTAAAATAAAATTCAAGAAGTTTGTGTCGCGAATTGCTCAATTTATTTTTGCATATTTAGCAATAATCGAGCTGCAACAAAGCCGAGAAATTATGTATACGCATAAAAAAAATGGTAATCAACCTAATACATAAAATAAATTTAATAATAATAATAAAGATTCCCATCACACTAACTGGAAGAGAACCTGAAAAGGAAGAAAAAAAGCAATCCCGTAGCACTAAGGCCCTGAATAGCAGAAAACCTTTTTCAGCACCATTAAAAAAAAGTTGTCAGAGAACCGAAAATCGGGTTCCAAGCAAAAACATCAGAGATAAGCAATTGGAAAGTAAAAATACATAGATATAGATATAGATATATGCCGCTGTGTGTGTGTGTGTGTTGAGTAGCTTTCCACGGATCAGTGCTCAAATTGTCGTAAAAGAAAAATTAATGTATAAAACAAAGATAGATCCAAAAAAAGAGTAGAAATTCTCTTTCACGGCATATGTATACGCTCTCAACACTTATTATACTTTATTTGATCGTTACGCTTAAACATAGCCAAACTGTGTGGCATTCAAAAGGCAGTGCTCGAGGCGATCCCGCATCTCTTCAATGTTTCGATATTTCTGCAGTCGTAGTGAGATGGGTGAGCAAGTATGCGCGGTGGGTAATAGCGAAGGATCATCCCCACAGCACACACTAATCTTTTCTAAAAGCGGAAGGCGGCTTTGGCCGGAGCAAAAAAGCAAAAACCGCGAGCGCTCCGCCTCCGTCATCTCGTGCACGACCTTGTAGAGCATCTCCTGCAGTTCACCCGGGATATTTGCGCAGTCGAGGCAAGAAATCACCTCCGCGGCGGGGATCCCATCCACTCCGCAGACCCGTCGTTGTAAATCACTCCACGCGATCGTCTTGAGCAAGGCCGGAGAGATCACCGAGATGAGGCCATCGCGAATACACTGCAGGGCGGGGTCGTATTGGTGAAGAAGCGCGTGCTCAACCTCCGCGCGGCGCACCGCTGCGATTCGCTGTTGAACCTGCGAAGTATACGCCTCGAGATCGTCCAGGCCCCCGCTCATACTCCCCGCCTTCGCGAGAGGCGTCGTTGTCGAAGTGCTATTTGTGCGCAAATACGGCGTCTGCAAAGCCAGCGACGCGCCGTTATTTGGATTATAGGAGGAAGAATGTGAAAGATGCCCGGTGAACCCCATCCCTCCTCCTCCGATTTCACTATTGCCGCCTGGCAAATTCGCGAGATCGGCGGCGCTGCCACCGCGATCGAGCATCCCCATTGGTGGGCGTAAAACGCCAAGGATGTTGTGAAAACACTCATTGTCGAGGAGAAAGTCGTCGTCGGCGAGGGAGCCGCGGACGGTATCATCCACGTCGTAGTAATAATCCTCAATCACGACCGCCTCGAAGGTGAGGTACTTCCACACCATCCGCGGGAAGTTCAAGAAGAGCTTAAACGTCCCGCACAGCGTGATATTCCCGATGAGCATCCCCAGCCAAGTGAGCATGCGGTGATGGAGCTGAGGGGTGAGCGCGGCGTCCGCGTGGTGGGCCGGCGACGAACGCGGGGGCCGCCCCTCGCCCGCCAAAACCTCCCCCTCCGCGAAGAACTGCGGCATATTCGGGACCACCGTAAAGACGGTGGAGTGGGCGGAGAGCACAAAAAGCGGCATCACCGGGTTCACCCGCGCGCGGTCGATTACGCGGTAGTTCAACTCATCGCTGATCATCGACAGGACGGAGCGGGTGACCCCGCCGGCGTCGTTCGTGACGTCGCCGGAGAGCCGCACGGCGAACATCACCGCGTTTTTGTAGATCGGCGCGTTCTCGATCTGCGAGAAGAGCTGAAACGTCACCAACCGCGAGAGCCGCACCCGCTCCCCCGCCGCGAGGGGCTTCGTGTGCTGGAGGTTGATATGCACCACGCGCGGGTTGATCGTATCGAACGAGGGCCGCCCGCCGATCTGGGACTCGAAAATCACCCAACGCGCCGAGCTAAATAGAAGGTCGCGCGCCTTGCGGTAGAAGCGCATCAAATAATCCGAGCCTTTGAGCAAGGTGAGGTTGTGCGCGGCGATTACGGTGAGGTCGCTGATCACGCTCAGGTGCCGGACGTAGGGCAGCAGGCAGGTCATGTCATAGCGGCCCTTCCGCTTCCCCGCGTCGTCGGAACCCGAATGGGTTGGGGTGGACGCGAGAAAGTGGGTTTGGACGAACCCCCAGACGCGCGGATAGCGCCGGAGCTCGCGCTCGGCCTGGGGGGAGACCAACATGGCGAGGACGGAGCTCTGCACGTGGAGATCCACAACCGAGATGTTGTCGAGCAGGGTGGAGAGCTCGTGGTAGAACTCGTAGGACTGCGTGGGGGCCTCACTGAGGAGGTCCCACCGCAGGGCGTCGACAGGGACCCCGAAGTCTTTGTAGCCCGTGGGCTTAAACTGGGTATCCCCGAGACGAATCTTGACCCCGCAAGGCTCCGCCGCGGCGCTAACGTAGGGGTAGATCTCCTCGCTCTCGCCCTGGACAGGGAGAGAGACCCGGATCAGCTCCTCGCCGTTGATGGTCCAGCTGACCATCCGGGTCTCGAGGTCAATCATCGACCCGACGACGTCGCCGAGGCGGAGGGGCTGGTTGATCGACACCCGCTGCTCGCCCATCATAATCCGCAGCATATCCTGGCAGTTGAAGCCCCAGGAGTGGAGGTCGCTCCCGACGTGCTGGCTGCTGTTTTTTTTCTCGTGTTGGAGGGTCCCCCAGCCCATCATGATCATGTGGTCCACCGGCATTTGGAGGAGGACGACCTCGTAGTAGTACTGTCCACCCTGCCGAGCGGGGGCGAACCCGAGGCTCCCGCGGACCTGCCCGACCCGCAGCTCCCCACCCTCGTTGAGGTGGGTCTCACTGAGGGGGATCAAATAGGGAAAGGTCCTCGCCACGTCCGATTCGAGGATCCTCGGCAGTGGGGCGCCCTCTTCCATCCGGCAAATCCCTTCCACAAGACAGCTGACCGCCTTGACGGCGGCCCTACCGGCCCCGAGGGCGACCTCGCGGAGGGCCGCGAAGACCATCGCCTGGCGCTGGCCGGCGCCGACGGGGCGGACGCGGAGGGCGAGGCCGAGGGCCGCAGCGTTGAGGGGCTCCCGCGGGAAGTCCTCGAAGAGGCCCTTCATTCCCCCCCAGCACCCCTCCCGCAGGCCGCGCGAGGCCCCGGCCCGCAGGGCGTTCCCGCAGAGGGCGTAGAGCAGG